GGATGGATGGATGGATGGATGGATGGATGAACGATATATAGACATATATGTATGAATGGATATACAGTATAGAAGTATATGGATGGATGGATGGATGGATGGATGAATGATATATAGAAGTATGGATGGATGAATGATATACAGAAGTATATGGATGGATGGATGGATATATAGAAGTATATGGATGATGGATGGATGGATGAATGGATGGACGGATTGATGGAAGGGTGGATGGATGGACAGATGAATGGATGGATGGATGAATGGACAGATGAATGGATGTATGGATGACAGAAATATATGGATGGATGGACAGATGAATGAATTGATGGATGGATGGATGGATGAATGGATGGATGGACAGATGAATGGATGGATGAATGATGTATGATAGATAGAAATATATGGATGGATGGTAAACCCTGAATGTTCATCTACAACTAAATATCTGGAGTGAACCAAATTCAAGATGGCCACCACTGCTAATAGTCCCAATCTGTTTATCGGTGTTTATTTTTCTGTTTTGTGGGTTAGTTTGTTTAGTTTTTGTGTTCAGTCATTTCTCAGTCCCACTGTCAACGTGTAATAAATTGTAATAAATTGTAATAAATGAATCTGAAAACACAAATATCTTTAGTCTTTGCTGCAGAATCCCAGTTTAAATTTTAAATTTCTTTTTTTTTTTCTCTTCCCACATTCAGAGAGGAACGGGATCGACTTCAATCGGCAGGTGAGTTCTTCCTGTGATGTCACTTCTTGTCCTCCAGTTCCCATTAATCTGGGCTGCATGAAAGAGCGCTCTGTTTTCACCAGGATGACTCAGGAGGGCTTTGTGGAAAAACTCTGTCCTCTTTGCTCGCGTGCAACACGTTTATTTCCTGCACGGAGGGAGGAACAACCTGTCCCCTGAACCTGCAGCTAAACTAGTTGGTTCAGACCAAACATCTCCACACCAGTATGATGCCAGCAGCACTGGCTGCTTTTAGTAAATCACATCCATTGAACCAAGATGAAACATTTCTGCTTTTCCTTATTATCTAAAATGCACGTGCTTCTAAAGCCATTTTTTACAAACCCTTTTCATAACTAGAGGAATATTGCATTTCCTGCAAAAATGCAGTGTGGAAGCTTATTGCAGAATAACTTGCTGAAAAACAACTGAATAAAGCAGGCTGAAATGTAGCTGAAATGGAAGAACGAACCTAAATTAGAAGAATAAAGCAGAAAAAATACATATTTGCTGAAATAAGTTTAAATAAGCAGAAATGAGCACAATGATTAGGAAAATAGCTTAAAAAAGCGGAAATTAGTTAATAATAGCTGAAAAGTTGCTGAAAAGTCAGAAAGAAGCTTAAACTACCAGAATAAAGTGGAAAGATCTGAAATAAGCAACAACAAAAAAAGGTGGAATTAGCTGAAAAAACTAAAATTAGCATAAAACAACTAAATAGTAACTGAAATTGCAGAAAACAAATAAGCTAGCAGAAAAAAACTGAAAGAAGCAAAACAAGCAGAAATTATAGTGTAAAGAAATTAGACTGAAAGTAGCTGAAATTACTATGAAAAACTTGAATTTATCTGAAAACAGCTAAAATTAGCTAAAAAGGTAGCTGAAGTGTAGAACAAGCTTAAATTAGCAGAAAAAAAACGTTTGTCTAATTAGGCTGAAAGAAGCAATAATGAGCACAAAAAAGTGGATATTTGAAAAAAAAAATGAAATTAGCAAAAATCAGCTGAAAAGTAGCTTAAAATGTAAAAAGAAGCTGAAATTATAAGACTGAATTAGGCTGAAAAAAGTGGAAGAGTGCAAAAAATGTGAAATTAGCTGAAAAGCTTAAATTAGCGTAAAACAGCTATATAGTAGCTTAAAGAGTAGAAAAAGCTGAAACTTGCAGAAATAAGCCAAAAGGCACATAAGCTGAAATTAGCAGAAAGAAGTTAGAAAATGTTGTAGTTAGTAGAAAGAATCTGAAAGCACAAAACAGCTGAAAAAACAGCTGAAATTAGCTGAAAGTAGCTGAAAAAATGTTTAAATTTGCACAAGGAAGCTGAAAGAAGCTGAACCAGAACAAAATGTGAAAGGAGCAGTGAAAGGTTGTAAACAGATCTAAAGATTTGAAGGATGTAAAATGAGCTCAATTCATTTTCTATGAGGAAAAAAGTGGCAGAAAAGGCTAAATATTTCAAAAAACTAAAGTTGCACCAATGCCAAAAGTCATAGCAGGATTATCCTGAATGAGCTGAACGTTTTTATATATGAGCTGTTGAAATAGCTTGAAAACTGCGGGATGAGAAACGTGCCAAAAAATGTACGGAAGGAAAATGTTTCACAATAGTGTGAATGCTTCATAAACATTCATCACACAAATGAACAAAATCTGCTCCTTCTTCAGGAGTCGCCACTGCGAGCGAACTCACATGAAAGATTTGGCAATTTATTTTATGCCAGATGTCCCTCCTGGCCTTGAACCGGCAACCTCAGCATTACAAGAGCGCAGCCCAGCACACTGTAATGGGATTAGCATTTATTTTACTGTAAACATAAAACAGGAGGCAGCAGAGTGTGAAAATCTGCAAAGTGAGGAAAAACGCTTTGACTGAACACGATTCATTTGTTCCTTTTCTCTTTTCTCGCCATCAAAGAGCAGCTGAAGACATTTATATTGTGCACAGCAACAAAAACCTGCTGCTACTCTTTGATCTAGAATCGATTGAATAATTTGACTAATTGCAGAGGCATCATCTTGCAGTTAACACACACAGAAAACTGACTTTTAGTCTGAGTTTCTTGAAAACTGCACAATTTTTATCAAATTTTAGACATGAAACCTCAAGATGCTAAAACTGTAATAATGGACATAGATTAATAAGGGGGGGGTGACAGTTTTTATAAGGTGGATTATTCCAATCCAACGGTTAAAGACGGGACCACGCATCAGAGTTTTAAAGTTCTGGACAACAGAGGCCCTCTGGTAGCGGAAGTGTTTTTATTCATGAAAAATCCTCTCAGATACTATGAACTGAAAATTAATCATATAGTTTGCAGGTATTGGACCCTTTTGCAAAGTTTTTATTTCTTTCAGGGCTTTGAGGAAGTGCTGTGGCGTTCAGGGGTTAGTATGGGGGGGGGGGGTGTGTTATTTGCATATCGGTTTGGCCTGAGGGAGGTTGAGCATCTATCACTCTTTGTATCGTGTTGAGCGACCAAACTGGTCCAGGAGCGAGGGCTCATCAGTCTGTGGGTGTGTGTGGGCTGCACACACTCGGTGTAAATCTAACCCTCTCAGTTACTCCAGAGTTATAAAACCTGATAAGTTTTTTTCTTTTGTGTCTTTTAGATAAAGACAGAGGACGTGACTGACTCTCCTCATTCAGCCTCCTCAGTGAAGACATGCCACCTGACCCAGAACTCTCCCGTCCACGGGGGTCAGCTGAGTGGGGTAAGACACGCTCCCTCAGCCCCGTTCTTCGTCAGGATAAATCCTCACACTCTTCTTTATCCGTCTCTCAAATCTCTCCACCCTCTGAGAAACAATCGGAGGAGACGACACAGATTCTTGATTTAGTTATTTGACTTTCGTCTGTGAAAGAACCTGGAGTTTGTCCTTAAAAGCAGTTTTTATGTTGATGGTTTATGACACCGAGCTGATGCAAGAATATACAATACAATAATTTACAACTAACATCTGCATTTAAGTAGAAATGAAAACTTCATTAGTTAGTTAAGCAAGTCAGTTAGTTCTGAAAATGGTTTTGGTTTGAGGAATGTTGCTTTAAAGTTTCATGTTTCATATTTTTAACAATTTGGGGGTTTCCCCTCAAACAGACCTGACAATAAAAACACAAATCATAAATCAGACAAAGAACTTTACCATTAAAGTATAACCTAAATCTCAACCTGTCTGCTGTTTTTCTGATTTTCACTAAATGACCAAAAAAAAGCAAAAAGAACATCCTGTTGTATTGAGCAAGGCATGAAATTGGTCAATAAATCATAAACTCATTAGGAAAATCTTTTCCAGGGTCACAAAGGAGGTGAAGTCTGTAAATTATTATTTAAACTCGATATCTGACAACCAGTCGCCCCCTACTGGCCAGTATGAAGAATGCAGGTTCATTTCTAATTAAATCTTTGCAAGCTTTACAAATAATAAACTCTAAATAATTATAAATTGAATATTTCCATTTGCATAATTTATTGAGAGAACAACCATCACCTAGTCTCATCAGAGACCAATAAAGTAATTCTGATTTTGTTCAAGTAAACAACAAATATCTTCAGTTTGTTTTCTCCAAGGTGTTTGTTGACGTGTTTGTGTTCCTTCAGGAGCTCACCTCACTCCACCCCATGCAGCAGCTGGTTCTGATGCCTCCGTCTCACCTGTCGTCTCCATCCTCCTTCCTGCTCTCCCAGAGTCCCTCCAGCCACCAAGGTGAACTTTCAGAAGGCCTCCTCTGAGTCGGATCAGAAACAATACAAACACACATTTTAGTCCTTTATTAAACAAAACCTTGTTTGGGAGAAGTGAAACCAACAGAAAACAAAAATCGTTTCTGACCCTCGTAATCCACCTGCGCTCTAAGGATCCTGGTTCTGTGCAGCGCTTGTCATTATTAATAATAAAAAAACATCCTGCTGTTTTGTTCTGCAGCCCTTCTGCAGCCGAACCTGCTCTCCCTTCCCGCCCAGAGTCAACCTGGTCTTCTTCAGCATCAGTCGGGACTAGCTCTGACTCCACAGGTGAGCCCAAACTCAAACCATTAGTGATCAAATATGACAAGATGAGTAAATATGGATATGAACAATGGTAAAACATCTAGTTTCTTTCAGTTTAAAGGCTTTATGTTAGAGGGATTTGTCAGGAACTGTGGTTTATTTATTTGGTACTTATAGTTCTTTTGTGTTTTATTGTTAGAGTCATTTATTTTTTGTTTATTTTCAGTTCCATGTGTTTTTAGGATGTAGCTCTGTTCATTTCCCAGCACTTTTCCTCAGTTCAGCTGCTGCTCCTCAGTCCTGTCAACACCCGTTCCCCGTCTCATTAAGCTCAGATGATTCCTCATCCGCCCCGGTTCTTTTAGCTCCTCAGTTCCACCGCACTCATCAGACGAGCATTGTTGTTGTTTATGCCATGCCCCGGTCTCCTCGTGTCTCTTTGTAACTCCTTGTGGTCCTAGTAATTTCTCCTTGAGTATGTTTGTAAATTTTTGCTGCCACTTCAGCCTTTTGTTCGGTCAAAAATAAAGTTTAGATTTTTTTTTTTTTACTCGAGTCAGTCTACATTCTTGGGTCCAACCTTTGGAAACCATGACCGAAATATATAAAAAAAAACAATATCTAGCTCGTTCCAGGTCTTAAAATAAAACATAAATTACAGAAAATAAAGAACTTTGTAATTATTCTTGGAAACATGAAACTCGGTTCAGCAGCTCGTTACTGGCAGAGCAAATTGACAAGAACAATGCATAACGCGCAGTTTTCCTAAAGTTGCTTCAGTCCTTTGACGTCCTGGCTAAACACTGACATTAGCTGAAGGTCTAGACTTTGACTTGGTCCGGTGCTAATCTTTGATTCTTCTCCGAGACATTCAGTTGTGGATGCTGCAAAGTTTTTGCACGAGCAAATCTGAGTCGAGCTTCAGCTGCCAGGCCCATTTGACTCTAGAATATTTTGAAAACATGAGTTTATGGTTCACTCCATCCCCCCGTGGTGCTCAGGTGCTGCGGCTGCAAAGAGTCTGTTCAAAGTTTCATATGATTAACAGCCACTTGCTCGACTAGCAACACAATTCTGTAGTCCTGCAGCTACATAACCGGCAGATTGTTTTAATCGTTGTTCACCTGTGGAGAACTCTGTCTGTGGTGCTTCTCTGATCCAGGGTGTGAGCCGTGCTGGTTTGGTAGGACCTTCTATGGAGAACCACATGGACATGTCCCACCTGCAGATGCCCAAGCACATGTCGGTAGCACCACAGGAGGAACCCAACGATCTGGAAGAACTGGAGCAGTTTGCCAAAGCGTTCAAACAGAGACGCATCAAGCTGGGCTTCACTCAGGTAACTGAGAAGACTCACTTTGTTTGTCTGTTTTTACAAATAATAAACACTTTATTTGAATATGTGATGATCAGGAGATGAACCGATGGGAGAAAAACAGCTGCCAGTTTGAAGCTGTTATACGCCTTTTTGTTTTGTTTCGTCACAGGGAGACGTGGGCCTCGCGATGGGAAAACTGTACGGGAATGATTTCAGTCAGACCACAATATCTCGATTCGAGGCCCTCAACCTCAGCTTTAAAAACATGTGCAAGCTCAAACCTCTGCTGGAGAAATGGCTGAGTGATGCAGGTACATGTTGACAAGTATTACAACCGTGTGGTTCCCAACCATGCTCCTTGAGGAACACCATCCTGCATGTTTTAGTTGTTTCTCTGCTCCAACACACCTGATTCGGTGGTTTAATTACTTTCTTAATTTCAGCAGAAGCCTGATAATCACCCTTTAATTCAAATTAGGTGTGTTGGAGCAGAGGAACAACTAAAACAAGCAGGGTGGTGTTCCTCAGGGACCATGGTTGGGAACCACTGAGTTAAACTATGAAAAGCAAACATTTCCTATTAAATGTGTCCAAGTATTTCATACAGTTTGTTTCCTGAAGTTCATTCACTTTTAGCTGGTTTACTTAACACAGCAAGCTGAAATTTGTGGCCTCAGTTAATAAACATGCACTAGCTTGAATTTTTCAAAAGTTTTTCTTTAATAAATATAAATTTGCTTAAAGTCACTCAAAATGGAAGCAAAAGCTAATCTTGTGTAAAGAAGTACTTTGTGTTACTTTCGTATGTGTTCTTGTATACGTGACATAAAGGTCTAGTAAGTCTAATAAGACGCCAAAAGACTTAGTGTTTTAGTCAACTATTAATTTTAAATTAGTTTGACCAACCCAGTTAACCTGGGAGCTAACATGTTGTTTTGAACAGACGTGATAAATGTTGTTTTTGTCTTTTTTAGAGAACTCACCTTCTGACTGCATGAGCACTTCGACCTCTCTGCCACCTCTGATGGAGGGCTACGGGCGCAAGAGAAAAAAGAGAACAAGCATAGAAACAAACATAAAGCTGACTTTGGAGAAGCGATTTCTTGATGTAAGGATCAATTCTTTAGTCACTTTCAATGAAGCACATACAACAAGATAAATGTGTACAATTAAAGCTGATGTTGCGTTTTCTGAATAACTTTTCATAACATCAGACATTCATCGTTACCGGTGTATGGAGTAATACAGTTAGGCACTGCAGAGCAATTTAAACATTAACAAAAACTCATGTCATCAGAAAGGTTTAATTTTTGTAAAAAAAAAAAAAAAAAAAAAGGATCATATTGCCTGGCACTAAAAATGGTTAAATATTTTCCAATTAAATTTTAGTCTGTAATAAGTTAGAGAATAAGGTGCTATAATTGAATTATTTTATAATTAACTCATCTACCCCTACAGAGAAAAAACAACAACATTATTTATCTAGTGTCCTTTATTTTAGTTTAATAATTAAATTTTAAACAACAGCTTTATTATTAAGTTATTTTTAGCAAGTTGCATGCTAGAGAAATAATATTAGCATGTTAATGTTAGCATTGAGTACACTAGTTCTTGTTATGTGGGGAAAGTAGCACAAACAGATAGCATGCTAAGAGAAGTCATGTTAGCATCTTAATGTTAGCATTGTGCTTCGTATCACGTGAAGTCAGACATGCCAAATGTTTACGTGTTTGTGTTTCACTACTTAATTAATAGACACAAAATGACACAGCTGTTATCATAATAAAAGAAGACACGTTAGCAGGCTAACATTAAGTTTGAGCTCTCCTTGATTGGGGCGATTTTAGAATCTACCCTTTAAGAGGGCTTTAGCCCCCAATGCTGACAATGGCTCTTGGCTTGAACAAAGCGGTGGCCATTGGTGTCAGAAGCATTTGTAATGGGGGTCAGAAGCATTTGTAATGGGGGACACTGGTGGTGGGTGGGTCTGGGGGTCCTCCCCCATAAAATAAAACAGATGATATTTCCTGCATTTTGGTGTATTTTAACATTGTTAAACATCTACGTTTACCTACATGTGTAAACACAATTCAACAACTAATTTAGAGAGCACAGCACAACAAGAAGTAGCCTGACCAACAGCTCTCCTTGTGTGAATAGAGCACCCTAGCTCCACTTTTCTCACAATGCTCCCCCCACCCCCACCCACCAGCTCCTGCAGGTAAGGGGCGTTTACCTTTGGGACAAATTGAGGTCACCGAATGGTCAGTTGCTGACAAGCGTATTGGATTGATTGACGTAGAGTTTCCAATTCATGCAAAAAAAAAAAAAAAAAAAGATTTTACTGGTCCGTTTAAGTGTCATCATTTATTCCATATTTATTTCAAATTTATTTAATATTTTGGTAAATCTAAGATTTGACATTTGAGTTTCTTTACAAAATCCTAATGATGGTTTCTCAATTGTTCAGGGATGCTAAGTTAAAATTTAGGGGTGCTTGAGCTCCTCCAAAAAGAGGCTAAAATCACCACTGTTGTTCACCCTTTAAGAGAGTAGCGAGATATGCTAATTGTTAAATGCTAAGAGCAGTCATGTTAGCATTTTTATGTTAGCATTTCATATCACTTTTTCTTTCTATGCATATTGAGAAATGGAAATGTTTACACATTTATGTAAAATTTTAATGAATTAAACAGACACAACTGATAGCATGCTATAAAAAATTCATGTTATATGCTAATGTTAGCATTTAGCACACCTCTATAACACTTGTATCACATAATGTTATTTCAGTATGTAGCAAAAAATGGCAAATATTTACATGTCTGTGCTTCAATGACAAATTATTAAACACAAAAGGGCACAACTGTTAGAAAATTATATCAATTTAGCTTTCTTGCAAACAATTTTAACACTACTCAGGAGTGTCTTTAAAAAAGTGTATTATGCTGAGCAAAATAAATTCTGTTTTTCATTTGCAGAACTATTAAAAAACAAATCCACATTTAATTAGATTTTGGCTTTTCAGAACCCCAAACCCAACTCGGAGGAGATAACCCTGATCTCAGAACAGCTTTCCATGGAGAAGGAGGTGGTTCGAGTTTGGTTCTGTAACCGTCGTCAGAAAGAAAAGAGGATCTACTGTCCAGTGGCTACTTTACCAGTCAAGTCTCACAGCTACAACTCCAGAATGGTTAGTCTTCATTCATCTAGAACCTAAATTTGTAATAAAATTAAAACCAAAAGCATTCATCTGGAATGCAAACCTCTTGCTATTTGGGGCGTTTGATTTTTTCCATTTTCCATCTTTTAAAGTGAGATTCTGTGGGACAGTTATGAACAGTTAACATACGCTGTAGCTCTTTGAAGGTCCAGTTTGGAGAATTCAAGTCTACTTCTGACCAAATTATTGAGCTAAATACATCAGTATTTACATAGAACGCTACGGCTATTTGCAAAAAAGCGGCAGCAGTAGCACTTCTGGTGCAGCCGTGGGTACTTCTTGCAGGAATATCTGAATATTAAGGCGATGCAAAACTAACGACAGTGTAAAAAGTTAGTTTACAGTTTACAACATAAACTACTTGGAAGTTTTTTTTTAATTAGTGTTGCTTTAGGAATCTTAGCCCTACAAGGACAAGTGTCAAATCGGTCAGGATTACATGTATCTCCAATTTGAGGCCATTCAATGAGTTAGTATCTAAAACAGGTAAGATATTGGTTTAATTTTTTTTTTTTTTTATCCACAAAACCAGATTTTCTGCCTGGTCAGCAAAGACGTAGGAATGAAGCATTTGAACACTGTTTTAATTGATAAAATATACATTTAGATTGAATTTTCTCAAGTTGTGTTTAAGTGAAAGGTTGTAAAATTTTCTATATTAATTGTAAAAATTGTTAAAAGGTTAAAATACTCTTAAATATTTGGTCTATACATCTGCCTAAAGTGGAAACTGTGTTCGCTTTAGAGCAGTCCTGCTACTGCACGTGCTTCTTCCTGCTAGTTTTTTGTTCAAACTACAGGTGGGAGAAAAAAAATAATAGAGCATTTGTTTTCCCATTTTTCCGTTACAACACCGCGTCAATGACTAAACATTTACGATGACAATAAAAGTATGAACTGATAGGACATTAACCTTGGATTGTGCCTGTTTAAATAAATGTATTTCACAGTTCTGTAACATGTTCTGGCACTGTTTCAGGCCTCAACCTCCAGACCCTACAGCCCTCTGGCCTTAGGTGGAGGCAAGTATTTTCTTATTATTTATTAGATTGCATTTTATTAAGAACCTGGTTTAAAATATTTATTCTAGTGACTAAAACTAGTGGTTCATACATGCAATAAAAAGTGTAATTCTCCATTAATTTTTTTTTAAACATGAACCATTCATTTTGATTGTTGTCTTCCAGTTTCATCAAGTTCCTCCCCGAACAGCACAAGTCGCGAACCGTCTCCCAACGGTTTGTCTGCAGCGTCCGTTGCTCTAACCTCTCAGGTCAACCCAGCTTCCTACAGCACCCCAGGGTAAAACACACGCTTCGATTTCACCCTTAAAAAAAAGATCAAACATAACAACTACGGGACTAACCTTCTCATCTTAATCTTAAATAAAAAATCTGAACATTTTCCAATATAAAAAGTCCACGCTCAATAATCCAGGTATACAATCCAACAATTTTCAGTCAGTTCATCTTGGACAGTTTCTTTTCTTTTTTTGTTGTTGAAACGTTTCCCCCTGGTTTGTTCCACTTTGGAGTAAGCTGTTTGGGGAAAGAATCAGTTTTGTGTTGTGTGTTTCCTTGACTGATGAAGCCTTCTGGATGGAAGGTGAAACGTTTCAGCACAAAAAGAAACTGTCCATATGACCTGACTTAAAATTGTTGGATTTTCCAATATATTTATCATATTCCACTTAAGGTGGAAAGGTTTAATCTTTTAGCAAAATACCTCACGAACAACGTTAGACGTTGGAGGGACATCTACAACTTAACTTCTGAAGTAAACCCACTTCAAGATGGCTGCCACAGCAAGCTGATTATAGGAAACATAAATATGGCTGTCGTCATCTTTGGGTCATGACCTTCAACGTGCACTGGGGTGGTTCACAACCAAATGTAAAGCAGCTGGAATGAGAGTCAGCTCCTCTGAGTCTGAGGTCATGGTTCTTAACCAGAAACAGGTGGAATGTCCCCTCCGGGTCGGGGGGAGTCTTTGCCTCAGGTGGAGGAGTGTAAGTATCTGAGCATCTTGTTCATGAGTGATGGTAGACAGAGATGGATCAGGGCCTCAACCTCAGTAATGACAGTCTACATTCCAACCCTGTAGTCATGAGGTTTAGATCACAAAAGAACAAGATTTAAGATACAAGCAGCTCCTCCATACAGTGGCTGCCTTAAATATGGGGTGAGGAGCACCGTCAACCGGGAGGAGCTCAGAGTAGAGGCGCTGCTCCTCCGTATCTAAAGGAGTGGTTCAAGCAGGGTGCCTCCTGGACGTCTCCCTTTGGAGGTTTACTGGGCATGACCCACTGGTAAGACACCAGCATCGCTGGAGAGAGGGATTTCTCTTCTGGTCCCGTTGCCTCCGCAACCCAACCATGGATAAGAAGTTGAAGATGGAGCCGAAGACAAAATGTCTAACTCAGCCACTTGTACGTATATTGAGCTAGAATATGGTGTAGTAGTAGCTGAGAGTCATTCACAACTCTGAGTGTGATGTTGAGATCCAACGGTATTTTAAAGGTTTGACCCAATAAGTCAACAACTCAGTCTAAAACTCGGGCATTTCATTTAAGACTTCTTGTCGTATGTTTAAGAGGATAAGCTTGTTTTTCTTTTTTTTGTTCAGGTCTTGGTATCGTGCTTGGAATTCTGCCGCGTATCATCACTGAGAAACATGAACTGAATCACACGAACCCACTGAAGATGGTTGGATGTGAGAAGAATGAAGGTGGAGTAACTCAGGGTTACAGCTATCAGCTAAACAATCCAATAGACACGTGAAACACAGGATCACAGGCGAGGACTGCAACATCATCACGTTCACGTCCCAGAAGCCTGAAGTTGATTTATGCTCATAGGACTTTTTACTTTAACACAATGATGAAGGACAAAAATAATAACAATCTAAACGCATCAAAACGATGGATATTCTCATATTTGAGAAACTCAAGACTCAGATTATTTAAACCTTGAAGGATTCAACTCCAGCTTCTTTAGCCATTTTTAAACTGGGCTACAAAAGACCTTCTTGTTGCTGTTATCGATGTTCACATGGCTGTTGATGTTTTATTTAAGTCTTTATTGTTTATGTAGTGAAAATTCACAAAAAAATGTAAGAATTTGAAACAATACCCAGGAAAAACATCAGACTTAACATCAGCTCAGCTGATGACGCCACAAAATGTTGGTTTTTACAGTTGCTAATCGTTTTAGTGCTTATCCATCCATCCATCCATTTTCTTTACCCGCTTATTCCATTTTGGGTCACGGGGGTCGCTGGTGCCCATGTCCAGCAATCACTGTGCGAGGGGCGGGGTACACCCTGGACGGGTCGCAAGTCCATCACAGGGCCACACAGAGACAAACGAGACAAACAATCATTCACTCTTTCACTCACACCTAAGGACAATTTAGAGTTACCAATCAGCCTAACATGCATGTTTTTGGTCTGTGGGAGGAAACCGGAGTACCCGGAGAAAACCCACGCATGCACGGAGAGAACATGCAAACTCCACCCAGAAAGGCCCCTGGACCGGGGTTTGAACCAAGGACCTGCTCGCTGAGAGGCAGCAGCTCTACCAGTTGCGCCACCGTGCTGCCCGTTTTAGTGCTTATTTATCATAAAATCTGTTATAATGTACAGCTGCCTACATTTTAAGAGCAGATGTCCTTTGAGGAAAATAATGCTCATATTTTGGACGGGGGTGAGGGAACATGGCAAATGAGAAACATTAAACAGAGGTCTCAGGTTTCAACTTTTCAGCTCTTTAAAGTGCAATTTTCAACGTACCGTAATCCCCCATCATTTTAACGTTACCAGAACACCTCACATGCAGACAAAAAAAACCCAGGCCGAATCCCTCCAGTAAGTTCTGGCCGTCCTCAGTCACTGGGATGTGCTTGGAAAATGTCAGGATGGTGGCACTGGAGTCATCTCAATCAGATGTCTGAACCACCTCAGCTGACTTCAACTGAAACAGACAAGCCCCGCCCCTGGATGACCTCGCCTCTAAGGCTGAGTCCGACCACCCGACAGAGGAGGCTCAGTTCAGCCGCTTGTATCAAGGATATTGTTCTTTTTGTCATAATCTTTATTTCACGACCATTGAAAACTGTTAGACCAGTAAATCCAGAACGTTACCTTTTAGCTCATCTTCTTCACCAGGACAGACCGGAGCAACACCCTCATTACAGCGAACAGGACTCCCAGATCCTTGAACTCCTCTGTTTGAGTCAAAGCCTCACCCCTGACTCGTTAAGAACTGTGGCCTCAGAAATAAAATCAATGCCAAAAGTGGTTCAGTCGCTTTATGTGGATAAAAAATAAATACATAAAATTGAAATTGTTTTAGAAAGAGTAGTGTGAAGAAATGTTCCCTTTGTGCTAAAAGTCCGAGAAGCAACAATTTGCTCTAACACTGAAAGCATACGGTTTAAAGAGTGAATACCAGTCTTCCACAGTTGAACAAAACTTTTCCAAATTTGCATTTGATTTTTTTTAATGCAGAATATGCCTGTTGCTCTGTCGGATGATTTTACATCACACTGGAGGTTTTTTTTTTTAGTTAAAAAAATGTTTTAAAATAAAGTATCTTTAACCTTTATTCTTGTAGTAGTTTTAATCTAAATTACTTCAAAGTGTTTTTACTGGTGACTTCCTGTTTACTATGGGGTGCCGTTTGTAAAGTTACAGCAATATTTAGGTTTATTTAGCCTTTCATAAGAAAAAGTTTTTTTTTTTCAAAGACATAAGTTATTCATACATTTATAAATGTCATGGTTAAACTAAATATTTAATTTTTAAGCTAAGTATCTAGTTTAAAAACTAAATATTTAACTTGCAATTTAAATATTTAGTTAGCAAATTAAATGTTTATTTTGGAAATTAAATGTTTAGTTTGGAAAATAACTATTTTGGTCCGATTAAATATTTACTTAGAAAATTAAATATTTAGCTTGGATAATAAACATTTAGATTGGAAATTAAATATTTAATTCACACCTAAATATTTAGTTCACTAAGTTGTAAATTAAACATTTATCTTGGACATAAACATTGTTTGTAAACTAAATATTTAGTGTGGAGATAAATATTTAGCTTGCTAACTAAATATTTAACTTGCAAGTTAAGTATTTAGTTTATAAACTAAATATTTAGCTTGTAAATTACATATTTAGTTTGGAACTATGACATTTATAAATGTATAAATGACATGGTGAAATATAACTTTGAAAAAAAAAACACTTTTTTTCTTATGAAAGGCTAAATAAACCAAAACATTGCTGTTATTTTTTGGACTGTGTAACTCTACAAATGGCACCCCATAGTTTTCCTAAAAAAAGTTTTCCCTAATTAGAACTGTATTTTTAATAAATGTTTATCAATTAGGAATAAATTCTTATTTTTTTTTGGAGAAGGGACTATTTTCATAGAGCTGCATTTTTTTAACAGCTGTTTGTGGACACGTAAAGAGATCTGTGGTGCTCAGATCTAGACTCTGTATCTAAAATGTTGGTGGAAACTGTTGGCTTTATTGCTTTAAATATGATTTTCTTACATTAATTATTTTTCTTGATGTGAGAACTTGAGCGAGTATTTATGTCTACCTGATTTTTAACGTTTTATAAAACTGCCCGTCAGCTCTCATTTGTCACTTCTTTGTATTTGTAAATCCTTAATAACCTTTTTGAACCTCTTATTGCATGTTTTATTTAATTTTGTGGAAATGTGTTGCTGAGTCTGAGTTTATCTGTCGAATAAAACCAACTTTTCGTTATATAATGTTACAGTAGGAACTGTCTGACATAAAATAAAGTGATGTTTTTAACTGCAGCTGCGTCTGGACTGAATAACGTAACGATAATCTGTTGCAGGATCCTTTAAGTCCAAGGTTCAAACTTCGTTGAAGTATCACAGGATCTCTCGGTTCCACAAAACTACTTACAAGATATAGAACGAGCCTCTGCAGTCACCGTGCTTCATCATCATCAGTCGTCACGTGATCATGTTTGAGCAGAGGACGTTTGTGGCGCAGATCTCTACGTACGCTCACGCGGGGACTCATTTGCTCTCTCGAGTTTTGGCATAATAATGCCGCCAAAGGCCCAAATCCAACAACGAGTCCACAATCACTCTCTGTCCCAGGATGGTACAGTCAGTGGTGCTTGAACGTTTATGAACCCTTTGGAATTTTCTATATTTCTGCATAAATAACCTAAAATATCATCAGATGTTTACACAAGTCCAAAAAGTAGATAAGAGAACCCAGTTAAACAAATGAGACAAAATATTATACAGTACTTGGATATTTATTTAGTTACTATACATTACTTATCAAATAAATGAATATATTTTTAAATAAAACATTTCTGGAAAATGACAATGCCATTATTTAAAAGATACATTTATTTATTTGGGACATTTAATTGTGTATTTAACAAATTAATTGTATATTTAATGATTTACTAAATAATTAAACTATACATGTAATTATTTAATGGAATATTTATTGTTAGACTTGTCTCCATCACCTTCCATGCTCATAGACGGCGTACCGCAGGACAGCACAGAGCTGCTTCCTCCGGCTGCCTGCTGTAGCTGCCTACAAGACCAACAATAAAACTCCTACTCTTTGAAAACTCCTGTATTAAAAATACTGATCGGTTCCTATGAAGGGAGGTTATTCTTGTACGTTAAAAATGAACATGCTCCTCTGGTGCATTTTGCTGAACATTTACATGAATCTTTGTAGTTTGCACAGATACAAGTTAAAAGATGACAGGATGCATTTAGCTATTTAGAATAATTTTATTATGCAGCAAAAAGCATTATTTTACAGCAAACAAGCTTCTTTATTTAGTTTCCCTGAATTTTCAAGTGATTAGAGAAGAAACACTATTTACACTTTAATAAAAGAATATTAAAACAACTTAATGAGTTGATTAGTTCTATATAAAAAGATCTTTATAAAGACACATTTCTCCTGTTTTACTATAAGTAGGCTTCAACCGTCAGCTCCGAACCACGAATCTTCCGGCTTGATTTTAATTCACCAGACGGTGAGACGAGGATGTTTGAGTCGTTTCCCTCCTCGGTGTTTCGGTTCGTTGTTTGTTTGAATTTTGGGTTTCAGATTTCTTTAAACCTGTGAAAAGAAACGTTGCAGTCAAGTTGACAATCACCACCTTCTGCACCCTCCTTCGCAGCACCCCTGTATTCTAGGCCAACAAAAATTAAGGTTTCAAACTGGCAATATTGTAAACAAAGCTAGCTTGTTATCAGGCCAAGTGATAAACCACCAAATTTAAAAAAAAACTATGGATCATTTCAAAGCTTTTGAGATGAAGAGTTTCAAAATAGCATCTTAATATATGAAAATTCCTTATTTTGACAGCACGTTACACACTTTAACAAAAAGGTAGATTTTTACCTTAAATATACATATATCCATATTAACTATCAGAATGGTGTGAAACTATTGTAAACCAAATTTAATTCTCACCCTCTGATTGGGAAAGGACGTCCACACCAGCCTCGAATTTCTTTGTAGACCAGTCTGGTCAAGAACTGAAATCACAGCAAAGAACCGTGAGTCAGCTGAGCTGAGGGCATAAAACTACAAACAATCTTTATTGAACACACTAAAGCACAAAACTCAAACTGAATTCAGGTCGATAACCAAAATAAACTTTGGAAAAAGTCTCTGAAAGCTCTTGGAGACACTTGAAATGTAAATGAGAAGTGTTTCTGACCAGGCAGGCCAAGACGTCAGCAGAGATGAGCATGTAGAAGACGTTGTTCCAGCCAGTTGGAGAAATCAAACCGGCTAACAGAGGTCCCAACGCTGCGCCTGTTGAGATCACATCAAAACATTTCAGGTTGGTCTTCCTGTCGTTTATTAGTCTTTTAAACTCATTTTAAAGTTCCCTCCTTCAAAACACCAAAATTCTTACCAGTATACATTCAGTTTCGCCATTTCAAATTTCCATTGTTTTTTTTTTAGTGTCCATTTCAGAACTAAATTTAAAATCACCACTTCACAAAATGTCAATTTAAAATCTGTATTTATTTTATTTATGTTCTGCGTTCCTAAAATAAAACAAAAGTCAATTTACTTTAATTTCAAATTTCTCTTTAAAATTTCACATTAAGCAACAATTTTGGCAAATCAAACCTGGAGCATCTCAGGGATGTGTACTCGGTCCTTTTTTAATTCACTGAAACTCATTTGTAAAGAAAACTTTACTGTGAAATATGCAGACAACACCCCCATCATCATCTCACATATTAAAACTTTTTTTCCCAGAGTGGTGCATATTACCCACCCGCAATATTTTAAATCAAAATTTCAAGCGATCTGTTTGTGCTTGAAGTATGTACAGTATTGGGGATGACTTCCAGAAACTACCCACAACACATTTTAAGTCAATATCAGTAAAAATGACTAAGGCTATGGCTTACTATGGCTAAGGTTGATTAGTTGCAGCAGACATCTTGAATCAGGTTGATTCCAAAAATTAAACAGTTGTCTAATTACTATTAAATTATTACTGTCTAATTATTCCTGAAAGTCATTACAATTCATCTGCTGATGGGGTGATAAAAAGGTCAAACACCTCTGTCATCATCAGTGGAACGGAGGCGGAGAAGGGTCAGTTTTGGGTTCCTGAGGGTCAGTGTGATAGCTAACCTGCCATGGTTATCTTACATCTGTACAACTCTTGAGAAAGCTCAAGAAAAAAAAACTGCATTTTCAAAAAAATTGGAAGCTGTAAAACACCCAAAGGATAATAATGGACAAAACTGACTCCTTTACAGCCCATCCAGTCTGCTGCCGTCTGATAAGAAACATCTGCTGCTAAAACAAACTTCAGATCAGTTTGGCTCATCTGGAGCCTTTTTATCTTATCTTTTTGTCACTAGACAAACAAATCAAAACGTACATATTGATAATTGTATAAGTAGCACACATGGCAGGCCAATCAAGCTGTAAAACAAATTCAGCTTCCTCATTAACACAAACTACAGCAAGCTTTACTCACTGTTGGGCTTTTATTCTGCAGCTTTAACAGCTTCCATTCTCCTTGGAAGCGTTCCACAACTTTTTTGGGTAAGGTGCTCTATGGGGATGATGATAGACTCTGTCCAGTTCTTCCACACCAAACTTATCAAATGATCTTTTTAGTCCTTGGTATATGCACTGGAGTATGATCACGTTGAAGTATAAAAAGGCCGTCCCCAAAATGTTGCCATAAAGTTGGAAGCAAAACGTTGTTCAAAATGTCTTAAGCATTAAGACACCCAGCCCAAACCCTGACCTATTGAATGAGAAGAAGACTGAGGTTATGTTTTTTGGAACATCCACTGACACCCGGCATGTATATCTGCATTTACTGGCTCAATATACTAAACCAGTGACCACAAACCTGGGGGTCAAAGTAGATAATGATCTTAAATTTGATAATCAAACCAGGGCAGTGGTTAAATGGAGCTTTTTTCATTCATGGCAGCCGGTGAAAGTCAAGCCCATTCTTACAAGAAAGCACTTTGAGATAGTAATCCACTCAGATGATAACTGTAATAACACTTTATATAGGGGTCAGCTCTTCCTTTAACGCTCACCTTCAGAGGGTCCAAAATGCTGCCACACATCTTTTAACTGGCACAAAAACACGACCATATCTCCCGTTTCAGCCTCGCTGCAGACTGCCTGTACATTTTAGGATTCATTTTAAAGTTCTTTTATTTGTTTTTAAAGCTTTCAATAGTCTCGCCTCACCTTATCTCACTGAGCTGCTACACTCACACAATCTACCATTTTCTCAGGTCAACAGACCAGCTGCTCCTGAGAGCCTCAAAAACAAAACGAAAGCTTTGAGGGGATCGTCCTTTCTCTGCTGCTGCTCCTAAAATGTGGAACGACCTGCCTTCGAGCATCAGACAGACGTCCTGTCCTCCCTGTCTGTTTTTAAATCACTTCTTAAAACTCATCCACACAACCTGAGATGCAATTTTAGTTCATTTTAACAAATTTGATTTAACTGGTTGATCTATTTGTTTAATATAAGGCTGTTTATGGTTTGCTTTCATGTGTTTTTATTTTGTATTGTGACTGCTACTGGTTTTATTGACTGTAACTGTTCAGCACTTTGGTACTTCGGTTGTTTAAAGTGCTTTACAAATAAAGCTGGTATGGTAAGACTAAGACCAAATACTTTGGACCATATATTCTACTTATGAAATAGATAAAAGCTGCAAGATGTTCACCTACTTGAAGTTTTCTGGTAAAAAACTGGATCAGCATGTGGAACTTATGTGGAGGAAAGCTTTTGGGACATGAAACTAAAAAGAACCTAAAAGACCTGAGGGTGAAAATATCCATCTGTTCCAATACTGATATCATAATCAGTCAGAGCCGCTCTATAGCAGATAAAGCATGGATCCTAAAGTCAGAAACATTTTACCTACCTATGGATCCAGTCCCGTCAATGATTGCAGTCACTGTTGATAATGCCCTGGAGTTTCCTCTCAGACTCTCGTGTGTTCCCTGTTGAAACACAGTCGCATCAGGTTTTCAGGTCTAATAGACAGCGTAACACGAAGCGTGTCCCATGATGCTTCAGGTCTTACCAGGTCAGCAGACACAGCTGTTGTGATCAGAGCGTATGGTCCGTTCACCAGGCCTCCACACAATAACAACATACCTACACATCAAAACAAATTACAATTAAAAGGCCTCATTTTCTGTCTTTTTTTAGTCATATGTTCTTAAAATATAAATTCAAGTGAATAAATTAAGGAAAGAAGCGCCATTGTGTTAATTTTAAAAGTGCATTAAGTTCACTTTTTCCTGGGAAGGCAACATTATGGACTGAATTTGTATCGTGAAGAAAGCATGATCAATCAATACACCAATCGGAGCACCTTATCTTCAGGTTATTTCCCGATGCTAAATTAAACAAACCTTATCAAATATGCCTTCTTCTGTGTGATACTGCATAATCATTTTTCAGTAGTTGTTTGCTGATAATGCGACCTTTTCTTCTGACTTTATCGTTAATGTCGAGTTGCGTCTTGATGTATTATTGTGCAAGAAAACTTGTTCCATTCACTTTAGCCTTAAAAATGCATCCATCAACTACCACTGGAATGTTTCTGTTTGTGACTGTTAAGAGGCCCAGAGGTGGAAATGAAGACTGCTCCTACTTTTATAGGAGACCCCGACTGAGTGACACAAACATCAGAAGGAGAGATGAAAAAAGTTGAGCCATCAGCTGATCCCACTATCAGCCAGGAACCGATCACTAACCTGTCTGCTGATGCTACCTAGATCACCCAGCGTCTGCTGGACTGGCCCTGACCCCACTCCAAAATGGGCCCAGCATATCCCTATGGAGGTGACTCCGTGTTACCCACACCTGTTATCTGATCCTCCCTTCCAGCTAGCCAGAAAGAACTGGAGCTGTAAATCCTGGAAACTGACAGTTTCAGCCAATGAGAGGAGACCTTACTGGAGACAAAGTTGGTCAGGAAGAGACGTGGACACTGAAGGGAAGGCGTACCTTTTCCCTTTTTTTTAACCAAGGAGGCGTTTGTAAGCTCATCCTTGTTGCATAATGATATGAAGTGATGTAATCTGAGTTGGTCCTCTTTGTTTGAGACATGAAATAGGAGATGCAAGTTTAGGCTGTTTATTCATAATTATGACAGGAGTTTATAAAAAGTATAAGACTGACAGAAACTGGAGCTTTTGGACTTTGACAGCAGATTACATTCGTCGACCCTCTTGTTGCTCTTGGGTCGTTTTGGCCTGGGGAAGACAGGAGGGTTGTAGCACCGGCATTTTTTCTAGTTCCTCTGTTCATGTCTGGTAAATATGAGACTTCTGTATGGCTCTTGATTGTTGTCCCTCGCTGTGGCTACATTCCTAGGCACACTTACACTTGATAGTTTTGATCTTTGATTTTTAGACTTAAAGCAAAACATGTAGTTTTTGAACTTGCACATCATCTTTTTATATTTTTCACGTTAATAAAGATTTGCCTGTGAGCAGAAACTGAATGGAGGCTCCTGGGTGGTTTTTGGCATTTATTCTGACGTGTTTTGTATGTGGCACAAGAAAACGCATGAGCTGAGATAAATATGGGGTTTTAGTTGACCCCCTACCTGCTTCTCCCTTAAAGCCTCAGAGGGCAGTGTGAGGTTTACAGTTGGGTCTCTCTGGGGGTGTTTGCTCTGACGAGAGGTCAGCAGCACCAAAGGGGTCATCTAGCTGTTCCCAGTGGTGAAACAGCAGCTTCTCGGTCTCTTCTCATTCTTTCAGCTTGAAGTCAAAATCCTACATGTTTGGTAGGCCTGCTTGTCCATCGTGGTAATTTGATGCATGCTTGCTGTCTAGACCGAGTCAATAGTTAAGGGCGGACTTTGGACCTCATGGAAACGACTGGATCAACGACAAGAAATTACTGGGTGATTTTTTTTTTGTAGTGAATATTGATCGTGGGGTTTGGGGTCACTGGGTTCTTTCAATAACTCCCTTTAATGCTGCATGAGTGTTAAAGAATTGAAGTTAGGATATTAACCGTCTGTCTTTGGAGTCAGAAATGAAATAATCAACTAACAAAAATGATGCATTATGACAAAGTGTTGGGTAAATATGGTGGAATAAAGAAAATACACTCAAACTCTTACCAACTGTAATGCCAAGGCTCTTTTGTCCGATGTAGTTATAGAGAAAAAGCTGCAATGAGAACAAAACAATCAGAGCACTTAAACAAAGATTAATTAATACACAGTTGCAAAATTCTTGTCCATTTCTATAAAGTAATTAAATCCTGATCTCGAATAAAAGAAAATTAAGACACAGAATGTCTAAACTAAACTATAATGTGAAATATTTGTAATAAATAAAATCAACTAAAGCCAAACTAATACATGAAGGGAATGTTGCCCTTTCGTTAAACCAAAGCCTAATATATTTTCTTGAGAAAAGTCAAATTTAACTCAATTATTTTAAACATTCCAAAACTCTAAAGCCTAACTGTGTTAGTTTAAGTTATAGCTGTGCTCATTACTGGATAAAAAAAAAAGAGTTCTCCAAGAGAAAGAAGCTATTTTTTTTACTCTGAACAAAATAATCTTGAAAAGCCAAGAGTACTCTGTTGTTAAACAGCATAAGACAACACACTGGAAGGGGCTTTTAATCCTCAATACTTTAGACAGTTTACTGCGTCGTAGTTTTTAATACTTTTCTTGATTTTTAAATTTAAGTTTAGTTTTGCATACAAATAAATGAATGAATCAAAATAAAAAGGCTTTGCTGTCACTTGTGGGAAAGACTGAGAAACTAATAAAAGTAAAGTTTGTTCAGAAGCTTTGAGTACTTTTATATTTAACAGTAAAAAAAAAAGACTGCAGAGCGTGCCACAAACTGTCTGCAAACACAAGGCGATACAGATCATAATTAGTTGTTAAACTTTCAGGAGCATAAACAGTGAGAGTCATGAACTTTAGATAACTCGGGATCGATGTTTTTGCTCCAGTGTTTTGTAACGTTTTCCATGTTGAGGAACAAAATAAACCTCAGTGTTAGGAAGCTCACCATCGGGGCAGCAGCGATCAGCATGACGCAGCAGGTCGTCGCTCTTCCTCCAGTAAGATCAGAAGCAACGCCTGCCAGAATTCCTCCTGCAGACAAAGAGGGAGCTTTAGTGAAAGTGATACAAACACACTAAAAATACTAGAGCTACATTTAAGATTGATCAGTTCTTTACAAGTGAATAAAAATCACGCAATCTAATGGAGGCATTTGAATTTTAAAAATCTTAGATATTTTCAGCGCTTCAATTAATTTGTTCAAATGCCAGCTTTACAATAATGTCGACATTTTTTGGAAATGGTAAAAATTGAAACTACAATATAAAAATTTCAGGAAATTAAAGTTTTAAAATAATCTTAATTTAGAGCAATTTTGTTTGGTGAATTAAATATATGTAAATGTTAAGAAAAGTTCCACAACATGTGTAAACAAATCAGTAATTATTTGCTGAAAAGCAGATTTACATTGTTATCAAAAAACATACATCAGTGTTACTTTCTCACTACATAAAACAAACTGAAGGTAAAAACTTTATAAAAACCCAAAGTTTACCCAAGATTCCTCCGACATCAAATAATGTTGACATGTCTCCTGCTTCTTTTGCTCTAAAATGTGCTGCGGAAAAGACAAAAGCGCACAACAATTAGAAATAAATGATGAGAATGAAGCTGTGGGACGTGTGTGATATTATCCCCCCAACTGTGTTTAATACTGACCAACATTTGAGATGTAAAGAGGAAGCCAGTACAGGAAGGTGTAGCTAACCAGTTTGGCAAAAAGCAGACAGAGTGAAAATTCCACCACCCCCTGTGTGAAACACAAAACATAATTTAAGCATCATTTGGGGCGGCTGTGGCTGAGTGCTGAGCAGTCGGCCTCCAATGCAAGAGTTGGAGGTTTGATGCCACCAGCAGTCACATGTTGAGTGTCACATATTTAATGTCCCTTTGCAGAACCCTTCATTGTCTCCAATATGTGTCCCATTGGTGTATGAATGTGATAAAAAAACTGATTATTCTTTGTAGAGATCCAGTAGAGTGCTGTATGAATGGGTAAATGAGGGCACAGATTGTAGTGTAAAGTGCTTTGAGTATCTTGATATGATAAAAAGAGGGGCTAGATAAGAGCAGTCCATTTACCATTTAAAATAAAAAATATTCAGAGGGATGACTACGGTGGAAACACATAGCAGGGCTGTGCATTTTCTTATGAATAACAGGTTTAATGAAACCCTCAGAGGAGTTGGAGCTTCATCTTTTGAAGTTAACTCAAGTCAAGATGAAGCCTTCCGGGTGGAAGGTGAAACGTTTCAGCAAAAAAAAGAAACTGTCCAAATGACCTGACTGAAAATTGTTGGACCAATTCAAGATGGCCGCTACATCTAATTATGTGTGTTGCCCAAAAGACTGAAGCAGGCAGGTTTCATTTCATATATGTAGCTCACACGTTTCCTAAATTAAATTAAATGAGAATTACAAATCATCTCCCAATTAAAAACTCCATCAGTATGTTTATTGGGTGTGGGAGGGAAGAGACTCATTGAGCGTGTAAAACTCAATGTGACCACTAGATGGGACCAAAGTATGCAATTTCCCCCAATTATACTATTTTTAAATACTGCATTTCATCCATCCATTTTCTTCTGCTTATCCAGGGTCGGGTTGCGGGGGTAGCAGCTTAAGTAGGGAGGCCCAGACTTCCCTCTCCCCAGCCACTTGGTCCAGCTCCTCCGGGGGAATCCCGAGGCGTTCCCAGGCCAGCTGAGAAACATAGTCCCTCCAGCGTGTCCTGGGTCTTCCTCTGGGCCTCCTCCCGGTGTGACGTGTCCAGAACACCTTACCAGGGAGGCGTCCAGGAGGCATCCTAAACAGACGCCCGAGCCACCTCAACTGGCTCCTCTCGACGTGGAGAAACAGCGGCTCTACTCTGAGTCCCTCCCGGATGATCGAGCTTCTCACCCTGTCTCTAAGGGAGAGCCCAGACACCCTGCGGAGAAAACTCATTTTGGCCGCTTGTATCCGAGATATTGTTCTTTCGGTCACAACCCAAAGCTCATGACCATAGATGAGGGTGGGAACGTAGATCGATCGGTAAATTGAGAGCTTCGCCTTTTGACTCAGCTCTCTCTTCACCACGACAGACGTGTACAGCGCCCGCTTCACTGCAGACGCTGCACCTATCCGCCTATCGATTTCATGCTCCACTTTTCCCTCATTCGTGAACAAGACCCCAAGATACTTGAACTCCTCCACTTGGGGCAGGACCTCCTCCCTGACCCGGAGAGGGCACTCTACCCTTTTCCGGCTCAAGACCATGGCCTTGGATTTGGAGGAACTGAACCATCCCGACTGTGTCGCACTCGGATGCAAACCGCTCCAGCGAAAGCTGTAGATCACGACTTGATGAACTCGAACAGTATTTCATTCAACCTTTATTTATACAGGTTAATCCCATTGAGCCTCGGGGACTCATTTACACACGACCTGATTTTAACAGAGCGATGACAACAGTGGACAACAAAGACAACAATATATCTGCAATGTATCTGCTTCAGTTAAGAAAATAAAACACATTTAAAACCAATGTAAACAAATCCTCGGTTTAAAACAAGTTATTTTGACTTACAGGTATACGAAGAGCCCCACAGAAACTTATGGCCTCGGGGTGCTCCTCCACCGTCTCTGGAATCTCTGTGATGATGGTACCGTTCATGATGTGGTCCGTGATGGTGGTACCGTTCATGGTTTGGTCCGTGATGACGGTACCGTTCATGATTTGGTTCCCGTTGACCGAGTTGCGCAGGAGAGGCTCTGTCTCGTTGTTGTTCTGAACGCTCTGGGGCACAAACACACACCTGTGAGTTCAAGTAGTCCTGCTATAGGTGAAGAAGGAGTGCTGTATGTTAAAACTCACATGATGCTGAGGAGGAGTGCAGTCCACGTCTTCAGGTTCTGAAAGAAAGAACCGGACAGTAAGGTCCAAGTATGACAAACATTTGTTTACTGTATCGGTTCAAGTGTTAACAGTAAGATCGACTCAGATATATCCGTTAGCTGCTCCAGTTGTGACTTTAGAAACAATATACATGGAAAGACTAAACATCTGTGTTATTTTTACTGAAACAGACTTTCAACAAGAAAGAAGAAGCACAGGATCCCCGTGAAGGCAATGATGAGTCCAGGGACGATGAAGGACATCCCCCACGCCGAGGAGACGAAGACTCCTGCGATGAGGGAGCCCAAGATGTTTCCCACCGAGGTGTGGGAGTTCCAGACGCCCATGATTAATCCACGCCTGATGGAACAGAAACACAGTGAACAGTTATCTTCATGATGTAGTTTCAAGTTTTTAATCATCATCAGTTGCCATAAAAGTTGGGCAATCGTGTGTCAAATTGTGTTTGTCTGTTTAGCAATCTCTACATGTAAATCTGCAACAGAATAACTTTTGAAGTTAGCCCGATTCAAGATGGCCACCACTGCTAATCAACTTTAGCAAACACAAAAATGGCTCCAACTCAGTCAATTGACAGCGAGCTCAAATTTGTTGTGGTAATAGCTGAGAGACGGCCTCAGTACGTACACTAACAGATCACACAAGAGCTTTGGTAAAACTTTGTGTTGTGTGTTTCCTTGACTGATGAAGCCTTCCGGATCGAAGGCGAAACGTTTCAGCACAAAAAAAAAGAAACTGTCCAGATGACCTGACTGAAAAATGTTGGATCCAATGATTACTTTCTGAGCATTTCACTAAAAATATGTTTAATGGTTTATTAGATATTTTGCTAATAAATAGACAAACACAAACAAAGAGGCAGGCAATCACATGGCTGTCTGTGGATTATGGTGGCAGGCAATCAAAAGAAAATACTAGAAGTAAAAACGTTCAGCACATCAAGAACTCTGAGGAGCTAAGCATGGGAAGAGAATCAAAAACGAAACAATGGACCAGCTTCATACACAAATAACTTTAGTGATTTCAGCCCTCGAGCTCATCTCAGCATCAGTAATAACTGATTTTATAAATGAATGTCGTTTGCACTCAATTTACAAAAACTCATTACTTTATAAAAAATAACTTGTTGTAGTTTTACTGTCAAGTGTTTGCTGCTTGTGAATGTACAATCCTAGAACAGGAAACTGTCACTGAGCAGCTTGTCATGATTTTTCTGTCTCCTGACTTCTGAGACGCTCTTCTGAGCATGGTGGGGTGGGACGCAGTCACACCGTGACTTTAAAAGCAACTGTTCTCACGCAGGTGATAGACCTAATGTCAAAATAAACCAGTTGGACCAGTTAATGAAGCTCTGAGCGTCAAACTCTGTTACAAAAGGGGCCAAAATTAAAACTTATTTCAAACAGAGGCCCAGTTTCAGTCAGTACTTTACCTCCAGTCAAATACCTGACATCATTTCTTAGTTGTAGTTTCCTCAACAAGAACGTCATCCGACTCGTTTGATATTCTCTGTCGCTTTTTTCATGTCAAAACCAAAGATTACAGAAAAATTCAAACTTGTTTCTCTTTGCTTTAAAATTTACCAAATGTCATGAAAGTCTGCTCAGTTTAAAAAAAGAGAAGCAATTTACTTTTAAAATACCATCTTGGGGGCCGTATTTGGCCCTCGGGCCTTGAGTTTGACATGAGACAATTGGCTGTTTAAAGTTGTTTCGTTAGAGCTGGTTTCACTGTGGTGTCAAAACGTGACAAATGAATCCAAGTGTGCAAAGTCAGCAGGTGCACTCAGTACTCACTTCCCCTTTCCAAACCAGTTCCCAACACAAGCCACCACAGCTGGCCAACCGGTGGTCTGCATGAGTCCGTTCATGACCTGCAGAGTGAAGGCAACAGCCCGAGTTAACTCATTGAATTCTGAAAACTGCACAGAAACTGGAGGGCTGATTATTAACATTCTCACGGTTAACCTACAGAAATAAGCCTGGACATGAACAGCAGTCATATGATGCAGCTCTAAGTCATGTGACGGGTGTGAGTCAGGCCTCAGCAAAGACCTTGAGATCTTACGTAAAGTTTATAACGAGTACAACTGTGAGGTTAAAATACAAGAAATAAACTGTTTTATATGGCAACATAAAAGTTTTCAGTCTAAATAAAAATATACATCTGTGTAAAAACAATTTATTTTAATTTAAAATGTTAAAATTTGTTGGAACAATGGTTTGGTTTGTGGTTTATAGTTTAAAGAGCACTTTTATCTACAGTTCCTCCTTCGAGGAGTCATGTGTTGCCTTGAGACTCCTCCGACATCTCAAAGCTACAAAATGACATTCCAGTAAGGAGAGAACTAACAAAGAAACTTTCAGCTGACCTTTTGAATCAGTCGATTTTCATTTTAACGCAAACTTCCAAGTTTAATGGAGAAAAATCTGAAAATAAAAATATCTTTTTTTTAAGTGACTGCAATTTTAGGTGGACAAACTGCTTGAAGACATTTAAATTAGTAGAAAAATTAAATTAAATGCTGGAAAATGACAAGATAAATGGTTTTGGTGTTACCAAGGAATACACAAAATGTTTTGTTTTAGAGTGAAGACATGAGTTTGCAATTATTATATCACTGTAAAATAAATATATTTTGCCCCTAAATATTCCCGAGTTCATGCACCTCTGATTTGTTTTTATGGGTCTAAAGGTGCTGAAAACTTCGGTGAAGCCAAACTTTTGTTTGTCAAGGCCTTGGTGAGGCAGTGAATGTGTGCCAATAGTTTAAGTACCATTTCTGCAACCATCCTGCTGCTCTGCTCAGCAAGAAACAACACGTCTGATGTCTTTGTTTCCCTTTTCTTTTTCTGATGCTGTCAGATGAGCAGACCAACATTTGACCTGGCACAACTTGTTTCTAAATGTCAGCAGAAAGGGCTGTGACTCTACAAACACTGGTGTGATAAAAACGTTGTAAGTAAATAGGTCATCTAAAAAAACTCCACTAATTTTCAAGACTGACATTGACTGTTTATAGCCATTTAAAGACAATTACTAAATAGTTTTGAGCTGAGCTGCAGTATCGGATATTATTCCCTCATTTGACCACTTTTTTATGCAGCACTTTAGACTTTAATAAATCCACTAAAAGCATATTTTAGTTTTTCATGGGGCCATCAAAATACCAAAAACAGTTACAACAACTAATACCATGTAAAATTTAACTCTTTTTAAATACATAGCACGTATATTTTAGTATATATATATATATATATATATATATAAAACATGCTATATATATATATATATATATATAGCATGTTTTTTAATTTTGTTTTAAACCACTACTTTTATATACTTTTCATTTTATATGCTTTCAAATGAATGTTTATTTTTGTGTGTACCTCATTTATGTTTTTTTTTTTTTAAAACAGGACTCTCTTGTAAATGAGTTCTCGTGACTCAATGAGACTAACCTGTATAAATAAAGGTCGACTGAATTAATGAATATAGTTGTACTCCAGTATTTAGATTTATAAAAGCAGAGCAGAAATTACAATTGTAAACACAGTTTTACAACATATAAGAGTGAAATGTGATATAGAAGGTTTTGCACTTTTTCCGGATCCAAGGTTTGTCATGTTGCCAGCATGTTGTTTTTTGTTGTCGTTTTTTTTTTTTTATTTGAAAAGGTAATCATGACTCACGACGACAATTCTGTTTCTTACTTTTTATTGCTTCTTAAAGTCAAAAGGTTAAAGTCCTGAAAAAAAATGTAGTTTTATATAATGTCTGTGATTTATTCCTTTTTTGTATACAAAAAGAATTGAAAGAACATCCTTCAAGAGATTTGACAGCCCCATAATAACATTTTATAGCAGTTGATCATACTTTTTAGGACTGAATGTATTTTTGTCAGTTGCCAACCAGCAATCTGATACAGAGTACATAAGTTTGAGGTTTTTTTTTTATCTGTACCTGGACGAAGGCGTAGTACCCTAAAGAGTGGATGTTCCAGTAGTAGCCGAGTCCAAACAGAGATGTAAACAATCCGCTCATTACCATCCCAAAACTCAAGTAGTACCGCAGAGGAAGGCGTTCACCAAAAATGCCACTGAGGACACAAGAAATTGTTTGGGGTCAGTACAGAAAAAAAAAACTCTCTCTCAAGTCAACCAATTGAACATACAAACCTGATAAACATGCCGATGGCATAGGCAACCAGGAAGCAGTTATCCAGGATGCCAAAGAGTGCCTGATAGTTGTCCTGGTCTGCAGAAAAAAAGACATAAAACAGTTACTTTTCTCTAAAATTTGTTTCTTAAGCTAAGGCAGTTAGCTTTTAGTTTTTCTCCATTTCTTAGCAAGATTCCTTAAAAAAGAAGGAAAAAAAAACAACCTATATAGATAACTGAGCCTGGGATGATACGGTGGGGGTGCAGAGGCCACTCCTACAAAATGTTGGCAGGCTACAGGGCCCCCATGGCCAGATAGTTTTATCTTTTTGAGTATCAGGCTTTTGCTTGATGTGCATTTTTTATTTCCCAAAACTGTTTAGGATTAGGAGAACCTTAAATTAATAAAATTAAAACTGAAACCTAAAATCTAATTCCTCGGAATAAGGACAAGTTATCTAAAACCAATATCCTCAACATAAGAGACAGGGGCTCAGGGGTTATATGCATATTTGTTTTTATAAGTATAAATTTAGAAGAGGACAAGCCTTTTTAAATTGAGTAGTGACTGTGCTTTTCTCACCAATATTAATTGCAATTTATTTTTCAATACAACAAAAGTATAGCAGTGCTTGAAAGTTTGTGAAGCTTTTAGAATTTTCTATATTTTTGCAACAATATGAACTAAAACATCAGATTTTTACACAAATCCTAAAAATAGATGCAGAGCACCCAGTTAAACAAATGAGACAAAAATATTACACTTGGTCATTTAGTTATTGAGGAATTATCTAATATTTCATATTTGTGAGTGGTAAAAGTACGTGAGCCTGTAGAATTAGCAATTTGAAGGTGAAATTAGTGGGATGATGATCAGGTGTATGTGAGCACCCTGTTTGATTTAAAGAACAGAGATCTATCGAAGTCTGCTCTTCACAACATGTTTGTGGAAGTGGATCATGGCAGGAGCCAGGAACAAAGGAGATTTCAGTAGGCAGGGCACTTGGTTCTGTTGACAGGGTGGGGCGTCCTCCTTGGATAACGGTAGGGGAATCCCTGAAAATGTTGTGGAAGGACCTTAATCAGCCGTTAATGTGAGGAAATCCACCAATATCTCAGAGATGAAGCTGTTCTGTACAGATGAATGGGCTAAAATTCCTCCAAGCCGGTGTGCAGGACTGATCAACAGCTACTGGAAACATTTAGTTGCAGTTATTAATGCACAGGGAGGGGTCACACCAGAGACTGAAAGCAAAGGTTCACATGCTTCTGCCACTCACAAATGTGTAATACTGGATCATTTTCCTCAATAAATAAATGACTAAGTATAATATTTTTGTCTCAGTTGTTTAACTGGGTTCTCTTTATCTACTTTGAAGACGTGTAAAAATCTGATGTTTTAGGTCACACTGATGCAAAAATATAGAAAATTATAAAGGATTCAAAAATTCAAGCACCACTGTAGAACTAAAGGTTTCCTAAATACTGTATTTGTTAAATAACCTACACAATTCACAACAAAACAACAGATTGCCTGAAAAGAAGAGAGACTAAAATACATTTTGAGAAATGGTTGTACTGGTAAAATATACTGGTAAAATATATATGTATATATATATATATATATATATATATATAGAGAGAGAGAGAGAGATATGTAGATATATAGAATCTATATTCTAGATATATAGATATATAGATATATAGATAGATAGATAGATAGATAGATAGATAGATAGATATATAGATATATAGATAGATAGATAGATAGATAGATAGATAGATAGATAGATAGATA